TGTGAGTGCCCAGAGATCTTTTATAAGTGCAGTGGTAATTACAAACGTGGCTCTAAGTTTCCCAGAAACCCTAGCAAAGGGAGGAAAATTTTACCATTGATGTGATTCAATGGTAAAGATGCTTTTTTAAAAATTTTTAAATGAGAAACATTCATGAGAAAGCACAACAGTTACTCTATAGAGGAGAAACAGAATCTTAAACCAACATGTTCTTATTAAATAGGGGCAAGGTAGCAGGAAAGTGTAGAGAGCCCATGGGACAAGGAGATGAGTCAAGGGTAGGAGGAAGCCAAGGTAAAAGAGAGAGAGAGAGAGAGAGAGAGAGAGAGAGAGAGAGAGAGAGAGAGAGAGAGAGAGAGAAAATAAACTTTTTCTTCACTCAGAGTCTGGGGCTATTATCCTGAGAAATTGTCAAAGAAAGAGTCTGTATACATTTGGACTTTCCTCTACTTATCGCCTACCTGAATCCCTGTACTTTGTGGAACTGGAAATTGATAGAAGATTTCTTAGAAAGCAGAAACATGTTAGCTGTAAAAAGCAGCAGGAAGAAAAGGATGGAGACCTGGTTTGCCTTTAGGGATCATTGTCAAGCTGAGGAAAACCACTGGTCAGTGGAAAGCATCTGATCTTTAACCAAAACAAAACAAAGGCAAGCAAGGGCTATCTCTGAAGTCAGGCAATAAGCTGTAGTCGGTAGCACTGAGGGCTTGGGAACAGCACTGGGGTAAGGTCCAACCAGGCTCACTGCCCAAATTCAGGCTGATAATGTTCTACAAAGAGTTCCTGCTGAAAAGTCACCAAAGCCACTGTTTCCATTTTCCTTTCTTCATCACTTCAAAAAAAAATGCAGTTGTCTCCTCCAGAGCCCCAACAAGACGCAAACAGACCAAAAAAATGACATCAGGTGGGTGTCAGATTGTCTGCAAAGCTGACTACTATCTGCTTAAGTTTGCGAGACACTGTTTACCAAAGGAGGAGACTCATCAGAACTTGCCTCTCCAACCAGGCCCTGATTCACGGCTGGCTTCTCATCCTGAGTCAATCCATCCTACATCCTACTCTCTACAACAGATGCCCTTAAAGGAAAATGCTAGCAATGAGCTCAGAATTCCAAAATCAAGCCCTAGTATTCTTTTAAGTCCTACATCATAGTTCAGAGAGAATATAGCTCACTGTATATCTCATTACTAGGGTTCTTTTGTTATTGTATTAAATTCTATTTCTGTGGTTATCCTCTGGCTAGCCCCAGGATCCTTAAGAAAAGGTTAACTCCCTCTCACACACAGTTTTCATGCTTAATGAATGTACAACAAACATGGAGCGACATTATTCTAATACCTCAGATAAATATCCAATTGCTACAAGTTGGACATTGGTCACATGTTACCGAGTCTCTATTCCCTCTCCTTAAAAAATCTTTGGAGGATTGAACTTTCCTCCATTGTATGGCATCTTCCTGCATGGTACCTGCCTCCCCTTAGGAAAGGTGTACAGCAACTGGTCACGTGACTTGGCTTGGCCAATCAGATGTCATCCCCCAGAACTCTGTCTCTTGAGCAGCATACAAGGGGAAATTCTTGATCATCACCCACAGTGCAGAAATGTACTGACCACTTCTTCTTGGGGTTGGTCATTGTCCCACTTCCAAGCTCAACGAGAATTCCCAAAGTTCTTATTTATTTGCAAACTCTGTCCTCTAGCATTTTCTCCTTAATTCTTTGAGCCTATACATTGTAGCTTCTCCAAAATTACCCTTGAATATGTTAGCAAGTTCATTTCTGATGCTTGTAGCCAAGAACACTGACAGATATATAATAGTAAGGATCAAACTGAATTAGCGAACTCAATTCAATGAAACCAAACGAACAACAACAACAAAAAAGTGGCTGTGATGGCCTAACAAAATGCTTAAATGTTAGACATTTTATTTGGTTCTAAATGTTGACTAGGAACTCTCTGACCCCTGATATCTGGGAAAAACTGGCTGGAGTCTTTCAATTCTACAGCTGGCCGAAATAAAAAACTTTTGCTCAGATTTCTGAATTTCCCTGGGCGTTTATCTAGTCTTCTGCCATCCTGTGCCTTTTGGGTGCCCATTCTGCATTCTCTCTTGTAAATAACATTTACGCAGACAGGCACGTGGGCCTCTCACCAATACACACTCATCCATACATATGCACATAAAATGTTTGTAGTGAAGTAGGAGGCAGTGTGGTTATGTGACCTTGAGCAGATTACTGAACCTCTTTGTGCGTTGGTCACCACAGATCGTAAAATGAATATAATACTGGCACGTGCCCCATAGGATTGTTTTAAAAAGTGAACAGGATAATGCACGATAAGTTTATAGCTCTTGTTGCCCTCACACATAATAAACATTCAACGCTCAATGGCTAGCCAGGCTAGAAAGTTTTATGGAAGAGCTGGATCCTGGAAGAGGTCAGCACACGCACCGTTCACATTTAAAACAAACCAGCAAATGCAGATATGCAACCCGTCTACTCCCAGGGTCCCCTACAGCCACCATGACACTGGATATTCACCTTTTTCCAAGCAGAGCCCAGACTCTCCTTCTCAGAGCCTTGTCTCTTCAACCTTCTCCCTCCCTGCTCACTCATTTTCCTATCTTGAGAGCATGTAATAAAATTCCTCTCTTGTGCCAGGGATTTGGGCCCTTCAGCTAATACTTTATATAGGCATTTTACCAAGTGAAGACATTTTCTTACCCAAAAAAAGAATTTCTGGTTTCTGCTCTAAAAGTAATAAACTTTCCTTTATCTCGTTATAAACTGGAATATCCATTTCTAGACCCTGGTCATTTGCATATTACCCTTGTGATTTTTTTTCCACATTCATTTGTTAATGAGTATTTTTAAAATACATAACATTTTCTTTAAATACACTTCTTTTTTATTTTAAATAAATGTATTTTAAAAGGAAATTCCATGTCACTACCGTAAGTGTGCAAAACAGTATTACTCATCACGATAAAACTGTTACCTTAAAATAAATATTTTAAAATAAAAACATGTTCATAAACTACCTAAAATCATTATGCATCACCAGAGAGCCACACATCACAGTTTGGTAAATGTGCACCTAAAATACATCTTTTATCATGAACACCCCCAGAGGCTGGACTGAGGAAGAAATGGGTGGAAAGTCTGTGGCATTTGCATGTTTCCAATACTGTGGGTGGAGATGGGGAGTGGGCGAGGATGAGCACATGTTGATGGAATCAGGCGAGGAATCTGACAGAGAGGATGGTCCACAGACAAGATTCTGGGGAGTGATTAGCATCGTGTATCCTGAGCAATACAGGATAGACAGCACCCAAGGCTAATGCTCACTTAATTGAATTGTATTCTGCCATTAGAATCCAATGCTGCTATAAATAAAGGTTGAAAAGCTACAACTGTTAGGGAGCATACTATCTGAATTACCTCAAAAGAAGTGCATTTTAACCAACGGATGCAGGTTGATAAAGTGTCTAGAACTTAAAACAATTTCATAACTTTTCACCATTGATATTGCTCACTTTGGCCTCTGGATGAACTAAAATCAAATTGAAATTCTCTAGATTCCACTGTGTTTTTTTGGAACAAAAATAATGTCACAAACTTTTAGATGAAAATTAAACACATGGCACCAAACCTAAAAAATCTGCATTAAAATCCTAAGGCTCGCCCGAGCTGGTTTGGCTCAGTGGATAGAGCATCAGCCTGTGAACTGAAACGTCCCAGGTTAGATTCTGGACAATGACACATGCCTGGGTTGTGGGCTCAATCCCTAGTGGGGGACTTGCAGGAGGCAGCCGATTCACCATGATTCTCTCTCATCGTGGATGTTTAAATCTCTCTTTCCCTCTTCCCTTCCTCTCTGAAATCAATAAAAAAATATTAAAATAAAATCCTAAGGCTCTGCCCCAAGTCAGTGTGCTGGGTAAATAACAAAGTCCATGATGCTTCTATTGCGAATGTAAAATGTTTTATTGCTGAGCAGTCAGAGCCCCTTTGCACATCAAGGTGTAATGGAACTGAACCCCATTTGAAATACATGTGGTAACATCAAAGATGGGCTGATCAACAACCCTGTACTAAGTACTCACCATGCGCCAGGGATTATGAGTGAGACACAGTCTACCCTTAAGGAATTCCCGGGTTTAGTACATCTTTGGAAGCCCCGTCACATTACACCAGTGTTTCTGTGAAGGCAGCTCTCTTTTGTCCCAGCATTCTACTACATGCAACACACGGGCACAGTGTCCCCACTGTGTACCTGAAATGTGCTTTCCCACAGGTCTCAGGGGAAGGAATCTGTCCTACAATTACTCTGGGAATGCATTTTTTTAGAACATCTTCCAGCTATCGGTATCTCCGGCCAGTCTTCAGCCTCAGATGCCAACCCATAACACTTATGCCTTATTGAATACAATTTCCTCCCACTATTTGGTTGTGCCGAATAAAACTGCAGCAAGCCCTTAAAGAAATAACTTCCCCAGGAGCCATTCTATTATTTGATCTCCAAGGGCAGCAGGAAATTGCAGGAAAACAAAACAAAAGGCATTTAGGTTTATATAACTATACCACGCAACCGTCATGTCACATAATCTAATGAGCTGGTTGAAAAAAGACTGGGCAAATGAGAAACTGCTGTAAATAGCTAAATGTATATTCAACATTTAGCTGTACAGATAAATGATATAAAGTTATTTTATGCTATTAAATACATCTTCTTTCTTCCTATTACAGAGATGAGTATCTACTTTCATATAACATATCTCCCTTAGTGCAGACTTTTAATATAGGCATCTCGAAACATTTATAGCCATATTTATTAATCTTTTAAGCAGAAGTGAAAACAAAAACACTAATAACCAAACAGAACCACACTCATGATTATATATGAAAGAAAATCCACATCCATTAGCTCTCTTACAGAGACCACATAGTTCAAATGGCCATAATGTATAGCACAATACACACAGGACTGTCACATACCTCACATTAGCATCAAGTTCGTCCATTACAGGAAATAGGCATGGGTGAGTTGGATTTCAGTACCCACAGGGTCCTATAATGTGAATAAATAATAAGTTAGATGATCAGGTAGGAAAATAACAAGTCATTGGTAGAGGAAAAAAATGCCAGTCATTGCTTCCTGTTTATTAAGGCTTTGGAAGGGTATCAGTAAATATTTAATAAACAGTACCACAACAAAAAGCTATTGGCATACTGAGGTATGACACCATTGAGTGCGTAAAAAGTTTTCTTGTATTTTACGAATCTCCTGGAGATTAAAACATACAGGTACTTCTTTTACTGTTAATCAGTTTATTTGCTATTTTTTGCTCTTCCCAGAAATAGCTCATTTATAAGATCTGCATTAGGCCACTAGCTAGTACAAATAGGCAGCTATGTTGCTATGATTAAAACAATGCATTGCCTACAATGGGTCAGTCACTTTGCATTCTATGAAGATTTTCAGATTTTTCTTAAACCCTTTTCAAGGGTGGGTAAACATGTATCCCTTCGAAAAACTAATAAACTCCTGAGAACTTCTACCCAGAAAACAATAGATGTGCACACACATACATACACACTTTCTGGGGAGCCCATGATTCCTTGAAGCCCACCCATGAACCCAGACTAAGAACTCCAAGTTGAAGGGGAATTGACTTTCAAACTATCAAAAGTTCCTCCAGCACAGTCTCTTAGAAGGCCTTACGCCCTTTAACAGATGGACACTCATTGATACTCACTAAATAAGCTCTGGACTGACTGCACAGTTTTGTTATTCAGAAGAATTCCTAATTCTCAACACATTTGTTCCACAACATGATGCATCAGAGGATGCAGTGGCAGAGCCTGGTCTATTGCTTCTGGGGTTACCCTCAGCAAGTCCTTTTTTTGTTCTAATCTTCATCATCCACTTCTCAACAGCAGAAAGGATTAGAAGAGATGATATCTGGGTTCACTTCCAGCTCTGACATTCTATAATTCCATCTGCTGGTTTTCTAATCAAATCTAACCAAGATAAAACTGTAAATCTGTTTATCTACATAACAGAACCATGAAACTCGGCCTTGGACCTGGGATGCTTTGGTCGGGGTGGACCAAACACACATGCTTGGCAGCCAAGAGGAGAGTAGCAGACCACCAGAGCTGGGAAGGATGCAGATCTCATTGGGTTTTACAATGTTTGTTCCTCTAAGATTAACAGGATCTGGGGCAGGTGTGGGAAGGCTCAGCCTGCAGGTCAGTCTCTGAACACCGACCCTGACCTCAACCTCCTAAGTAGCTCTGTCTACTTCTATCTCTTTCACTTTTGAATTTAGAATAATCTTTTATTTGAAATACTTAAATACAAAGCCCTAACAACTGAAGTGATATGGCTCCATCCTCCTTCCTCCTCCATCTAAAATTCATTCCTGAAGTGATCACATCCATTTCCGTGGCCTAAAATACCACCTATTCACTGAAGGCTCCCAAAACGATAGCTCTATTCCTGACCTTTCCCAGACTCGTATCGCCTACCAGACATGACAACTTGCATGACTAAAAAGCATTTCCCACTCCCAACACAAAAACCTCCTCCTCCCTAGAGTTCTCCAAGTCAGTAAATAGTTCCAGCATTTACCCAGTTACTGAGACCAAGCTATCTCGTTTTCTCACCTCCTACAACCAAACTATCAGCAAACTCATTCTCTCTATTTTAAAAATGATTTCTTAACCTGTTTATTTCTTATTACATCCAGAAAGAGCACCCTGGCCCCAGCAAGCAACCATCTCCCTTCCCTGGAATACCTTCCCACCCTCCTAACTGGTCTCCTGCTTCCTCTACTGTCATCTCTTCTCCCCACAGTACCCAGAATAATATTTTTAAAATGTAAGTCAGATCATTTCTTGCCTGCATAAAATTCTAGTGGTGTCCTGTCACACAGAATAAAATCCAAACTCATATCATGGCCAACCAGACTTGACATGATCTGGCCCCAGCTCCTCTCCAATCTCAACTTTATTGATGGCCTACCCCAGCTGCCCTCAAGCTCAGGGGTTTTGCTATTTTCCTTGACTATGAAAGTAGGCCCTCACCTCAGGGCTTTCACTTACTGTTGCTTCTCCCTAGAATGCTCCCATGTGGATCACTCCCTCAGGGCCTCAGGGACACTGCTCAAACGACACTTGCCACGGAATCTCCTTGATAATCAAAGTAAAATTTCAGACCTCATTTTCTGTAAGTTGCTATCCTCTTTATCCATTCTATTTTATCTTACTAGCACATAAATTATATAATACTCATTGCTCCTTTATTAGTGATCTCTCTCTCATTAGAATGTTTCAAGAGCGCCTAGTTATATCTTGATCACTATTACATATAGCCTCAGTGTCTAGAAAAATGTCTGATACATTCTCTTCACAGATATTTGTTGATTCATCTAAGTAGTTAATTCGTTTTGCAAAAGAGGAAACTGAGGTTTGAGAATTTGTGACTTTCTCACTGGGAGGTACTGTATGAATCATCCCAGAGTACAATACTATGATTTTAAAACATGCGAAAACCATTTCGTTTTATTAAGTTACCCTTTACGAAGTGTTAACTAGTGCCAAACACTATCCCTTTTCCTTCTCTTCCAACCTCTGAGTTTTTATCTCTATTGTTAGATGAAGAAACTAAAGATCAAAGAGGTTAATTGACTTGCCAAAGTCTCACAGCTGACCCTTGACCAAAGTGGGAATAGAATCCAGGGCTGTGAATTCCAAAACTCAAGCTTTGTCTTGCATAGTCCTTCTCATCATATCACACTTCCTCCCACAAGAGCAAGGGAATCTCCTGATGAAAGTGGACACTTGCTGTAATCATCGATGCCTTCTTTCTCAGGAAACAGTGCCTTGATTTTCATTTGCAGAACTACCCCTCCCCTGCCTCAATCCCTAGCTCTAGTCACAAGCATATGACCAGGACTGGCCAATCAGAAGAGTCCACTCCCTGTCCATACTTAATTAGCTCATCAGCTAGACTAGTAAAAGCTACACCTGGGATTTTTGCTAGGAAGAGTCTCTTTCCCCTGATGTTGCTAAACGGATAGACCTTCCGTTTGAAGTTATTGGTGATCATCATTGCCACTTTTGGGGAGAACCTGAGAATGAAGCTAACCCAAAGGAAATCAGAGTTGCAGCATACAAAATACAGTGACCTGATGACATAGTTTGAGGCTTAAGATTCAGCAGTGTCTTAAAACAGTTTTATATTTGAATGAGCCAACAAATTCCTTTTGTTCCTCTATAAGCCAGTTTCACTTGGGTTCCAGCCATTATCTGCAACCAAAAAAATCCTGCGTAATATACTAGAAAATCAATATTGTATGTGTATACAGATTAGAAGGGGAAAAAACATGTAACTAAGGAAAACCAGTTAAAGCTAACTAAAGTTCACCTCACTGGAAATGCATTTGAAAATGTTACAACATGGGGAAAACCTCATCTAGTCATACTGTGGGAAGCTAATGAAGGAAATCTCAATTAAAATTGGCGTTGAGAAGGCCAACAGAGGGAGCTCTCATGCTTTACCCCAAACAGGAAGATATATCTACTTTAGTACCCCTGTTAAGAGGAAGGAAGATTTTCTTCTTGCTCAGCAACAAGCCCAGCCAATGGAAAATGTTACAGCTCAGCCAACGAAAAGTCGTCATTACCGGGGCTGACTTGAATCGTCATGAATCATTTAATAACACCAATTAGATCTTCAAATTTGCCCAGTTAATTTAGTTTTGAACAATCGCAATATATGCTGTTATATTTTGCTCATCTAAACCCAATGAACAAATTAAAATGACTGCCATTTAGCAAGCCAGTGAAACAGCATGCACCGGTCAGAGAGAAAGAAACAGTAACAAAAGAGAAGTTGGTGATCCTGATTTGATTAATTGCTCACCAGCCACTATTTTCTGCCTTGCTCACCAGAGATAACTAATCAGAGGCACGATTACAGGAACACCTCTTGTTAGGAAGACTGCATAGAGTGAGAGGGCGTTGCAAGGAACCAGCGATTTTATTTTGCATATTTATATTTCTAGCATCTTAACAAAACACCACCTAGTTAATTAAATCAACTGAGAGCATCTCCTACGCTCAGGTGCAAGCTGTGTCACTTCTAAAGTTGTCAGTTTGGAATTCAATTAAACCATAGTGTGTGTGTGTGTGTGTGTGTGTGTGTGTGTGCGCGCGCGCGCCTTAGTGATAGTCATGCTATATCCAACAACCTGGTTTAAGGGACAAGGAGTGATACCCTCCATGTCGGTCCCCTTCATAAAAACGATCCTAGATAATAACTAGAAAAAGAACATGGAAAGCCCTGGGAGTCCTGGGAAAGGGGTTGAGAAGGGACTCACAAACCCTTCTACCATGTCAAATTCAAATGAAGGTCTCAGTAACTTTCAAGGCTTGGACAAGCTCAAGCCACTAGAATTATTCAAAGTAAAGCGACAGCAACAAAGAGCCCTATCAGATTTCTTGGAGCTTCTTCTCCTTGGTGAATATATTCAGACTCTGATCTTCCCTTTAAAAAGGAGGAGGAGGAGGAAAAGACTATCTTACGTATGCCACCCAATGCTTATTCCAACCCTTAACTTTCTGGTTTATGCATCTACAGGGCAAATCCAAAAGGTAAGCGCACCCCATCTCTACCCTTGTCCTTTGATTCAGAATACTCGGAAAGATTGCTGTGGAACAGTCGTTAATGGTTAACAGAAGGTGTGTAGCTGCATCTCTATTATAAGAAGTGTGAGCAGAGGACTCACCTATTGAAGTCAATTTCAGTGTAGTTTGGTACAGTACCAACATCTACCAACCTGGAGCTATATCATAACCTGTTTGCTTTGCTGTACTTTGTTTTGTATTTTTTCCCCCCTTTTGGCTGCATGAGCGGATATTCATGCATAACTGTGCATGGATTGACCATGTTTCTTTATTGACCATATATGCCTACATGGGTTACATTTCTACATCAAAGGGCATATTTCAATACCGTTGTTGGACAAGTGTCAGGAATAAGTAAAACATTATTTATCTAAA